AAATCTTCTTCTTTACTCCTGGACATCAAGCAGTCAAACTGTTGACATGATTGTAATAAGCATTGAGCCCTCTACCAAAATTGTGAAATTCATGGCCCCAGGGTCAGGAGTTCTGGTGCTAGGGCGGGGCTATATAGATCATATAGTGAAAGTGCATTATTTCTTTGAAAATCTTCTTCTCTACCCCAGGGTATTATTGAAAAAAATTGAATACATATTTATGATAAGCAAGAGTGACTTTACCAAAATTGTGAAATTCATGGCCCCAGGGTCAGGGGTTCTGGTGTTAGGGCGGGGCTATATAAATCATGTAGTGAAAGTGCATTATTTCTTTGAAAATCTTCTTCTCTACTCCTGGGTATTATTTAAACAAATTGAATACATAGTTATGATAAGCAAGAGTGACTCTACCAAAATTGTGAAATTCATGGCCCCAGGGTCAGGGGTTCTGGTGCTAGGGCGGGGCTATATAAATCATATAGTGAAAGTGCATTATTTCTTTGAAAATCTTCTTCCCTTCTCTTGGGTATCATGTAAACAAATAGAACACATAGTTATGATAAGCAAGAGTGACTCTACCAAAATTGTGAAATTCATGGCCCCAGGGTCAGGGGTTCTGGTGCTAGGGCGGGGCTATATAAATCATATAGTGAAAGTGCATTATTTCTTTGAAAATCTTCTTCTCTACTCTTGGGTATCATGTAAACAAATAGAATACATAGTCATGATAAGCAAGAGTGACTCTACCAAAATTGTGAAATTCATGGCCCCAGGGTCAGGAGTTCTGGTGCTAGGGTTGGGCTATATAAATCATATAGTGAAAGTGCATTATTTCTTTGAAAATCTTCTTCTCAACTCCTGGGTATCATTTAAACAAATTGAATACATAGTTATGATAAGCAAGAGTGACTCTACCAAAATTGTGAAATTCATGGCCCCAGGGTCAAGAGTTCTGGTGCTAGGGCTGGGCTATATAAATCATATAGTGAAAATGCATTAATGCTTTTAAAATCTTCTCTACTCCTGGGTATTATTTAAACAAATTAAATACATAATTATGATAAGCAAGGATGCCTCTTCCAAAATTGTGAATTTCATGGACCCTGGATCAGGGGTTCTGGTGTTAGGGTGGGGCTCTATTTATTATATAATGAAAATGCATTAATGCTTTAAAAATCTTCTCTAGTCCTGGGTATTATTTGAACAAATTAAGTACATTGTTATGATAAGCAAGGATGCTTCTTCCAAAATTAGGAAATTCATGGCCCCAGGTACAGGGGTTCTGGTGCTAGGGCGGGGCCATATATATCCTATAGTGAAGGTGAATTATTTTTTTAAAAATCTTCTTCTCTGCGCCTGGGTATTATTTAAACAAACTATAAGTACATTGTTATGATACGCAAGTATGCCCCTTCCAAAATTGTGAATTTCATGGCCCCAGGGTCAAGGGTTCTGGTTAAAAGGGGGGGGGGGGCTCTATTGATTATATAGTGAAAAAGCAAAATTTCTCTGAAAATATTCTTTTCTGCTTCTGGTTAAAAAGCAAAGAAGCTAAGTGTATAGTTATGATGAGCATGATTACTTCTTCCAGAGTAGTGAATTGCATGACCCCTGGGTCAGATGTGCTGGTGTAAGGGTGGGGCTCTTGATAATGTAGTGAAAATGCATTAATTCTGTTAAATAATCCTGTCTGCTCCTTAGTGTTAATCAGATAAACAAAGTGATTACTTACATGTATGATGAATAAACTTCTGGTCCCAGGGTGAGAGACTCTGGTGTTTCTCGGTGGGGATGGGAGGTGGGGTGTGTGTGTGGGGGGGGGGGGGCTGGGGGGCTCTATTGATAATGTAGTGAATCTGTAGTAAAAAATGCATTATTTCTTTGAAAATCTTCTCTGCACCTGGGCATATCAGAGGCAAAAAGAGTAAAAGTTTTAATAAATATTTTTGAACATCTGGACCATTTTGTCAAGTGTTCTGGTCCTGGCCAGGGCTCTATTAATTTGTATTCTACTGAGGGGAGTTATTCCCCTTTGCCATTTACTTTTGATAATTAGTCACTGTAAATAATGTACTTGAAAGGTTAATAGAATAAGTGAATTTTGCAAGATTTTTTATTGTATAATACAAAAAGTACTTTCATAGTTTTAGTGATCAGGTAGACTTGTAAGTAATAGATAAATAAAAATGAGACAAAAATTACTTGTCTTATTCAATGTTCATCAAAGACCAAGAGAGTCCAATGTAAGAGATTTCAACAAGGAATTAAAATAGTACAGAGGCACTGATAGTTTGTTAATATACTGTATGGTGATAGTGATAAATGGGGAACAGATTAGAACCTAATTTATGAACTGTTAATGAACACTAGACTAATTATTTTGTTGAACCTGATCACCCTATTTTTCTTGCTTTAGGGCAACAAAGCTTCACCTTTCAGTTCATTTTATACTCTATGGATTCTCTAAATTGTTGTATTATACTCAGGTGACCGTTAAGGCCCTTGGGCCTCTTGTCTTAAATAAGTATCTTATTTTCAAAGAAACTATTCAAGATACACTGTATTTTTATCAACCTTATATGCTAATACATACTGATGAGAACTATTCAACTTCATCAACATTTTTGGCCTTGACCTTTCCTTTGACCTTGACTTCAATTTTGTGTTTAGCTGAATTTCAAAGAAACTATTCAAGATATTTTTATCAATCTTTATATGCTGATACATATTGATGAGAGGTATTCAACTACATCAACATTTTTGTGTATAGCTCAGTTTCAAAGAAACTATTCAAGGTTTTTTCTATAATGTAAGCTTATGCACTGATTCACAATTTGTTGAGAATTTTAACAAACATGTCCATTTTTTCTTACTTTGACCTTCCCAATGATGTTTGACTTATCTATTTATTGTGTATAAAACTGAGTTTTAAAGAAACTATTCAAGATACAGTGTATTTTCATCAAACTTTATGCACTAATAGAAATTTTCATGTTTCATTTCTAATGAACCCTGGGGGAGGGGGGGCATTCATAGACATATTTCTTGATTCTATTACATGTACCTTCAGCATTCTAGGAATGTTTCTGACTTCCAGCTGTAAAACTTGAAGACTGATATTGATTACTTAGATGAACAAGTCTTGCTGGCTTGGCATCACCTGATAGTGTGTAGAATAGGAGTCTTGTAATCAAAGTGTTTATCATTGATTATACTGTAAATGTATTTATTTTAGTGCTAGTAATATTTTAGTGCCTTTCTTGCTGCTTCCTGTCACCTTATTTATGTACACTTTAATGTATGACATCGTTGTTAGAACTCTAGTACACTTAGAACTGCAAACACAACTCACAACTCCAGCCTACATTTTCAGACTCGTATAATTCAACATGTTTGAAATATTTGCTAATTAATTTTTCTTTTAATGCAGAGTTGACTTAGTAATTAATGAAAAGCTCTGATACCAGTCTTAATTTACTAATTGCTGTAAAATACAACTCTTTCTGAAACAAGGGTGTAAAAATGTATCCCTTAAAAGCATATATACTTTAAAAATGAATTTTAAAAATGATTTTGAAAAACTCATGATCTCTAAATCTTTCTGTTCACTAAACTTATGTAAAATTAATTATATCTGCATGCAGTTTCAAGTAATAGGAGTTGTATGTCATTTGAAATTGGTCATAAAATGACCATTTTGGTGTGTTTTTGTCTGTAAACATATGTCTCCCCCTTCTCTTTGAAACAACAAAAGCTAAAATAAAAAATTTATGTAAAATATAAGTAAAAAACATTATTTTTGTTTCAATGGTGGTTGAAAAAAAATTCTGTTTTCCATTGATTTAAGATTTCCTTTTGATTTAAGATATGTTCAACACAGTTGCTCTAATGCCATCTCATAGGCATTATAAGTATTGATTTTTTTAAAAAAAATTCACTTGTTTGCATGAAGAATTTACAAAATGTTCTGAAACTTACTAATAGGATATTTAATTATTGAATAAAAAGAGGTCAAGGCACACTGTCGACTTATGTCAATGTTTAGTGGACATTTTTTGTGAGTTGAAGAAGTCGACAGTAACAGACCTCGAGCTTAATGGGAGGTAGCACCTTAATATATACCACATGTCATAATAGTTCTCCTTATGATGGTGAACTAATATCTGCATTTTGTAACGAGTATTTGTCTGGGTTTCACAATGTATAGAGGTTGAATTTAGCTGTAATTGTTTTGTTGATTTGGAAGAATATCCAATGACTTTTATTGCTGTATACTTTACTTATCTTTTTATTGGAAATTTGCCTTAGTGATGATTTTGGTTGCACGAGAGATTGAGAAAGAGTTGTCTGCACATGAAGGGAGGCTTCTACTAACATGCCGAGTTTATAATAGCAAGAGTTGTCTTTATAATTATGAGGAATATGATAGAGGAATTCAGAATTTCTTCTAAAAATGTAGAATGAAAGGTTTTTATTGCAAAGTAAAATGAAAAATCTTACTGTAAAATCTTATGAATATCTTAAGAGACAGGTTGGCTCTATTGTAAATGCAAATTAATAATATATTAATTATAGATAATGAAATTTGAAAGGATATATTAAAATAGATCTATAGTCTTGTCAGTTTAACAAAATCATAAGAGAGTGACAGATGTGCTATAGTGATATACTGACATATAAAATAAATGAAAAATAATATTTATTATAATAATTATATGCAGGTGAATTAATTCCTTGTACTGTTTTCTTACTAAAATGTCCTAAGTAATAAGGGAAGTGTCGAAATATCTTCTGTAATTATTAATTATGCTAACTTTCAAACAGAAAGTAGAGATGAAAATGAAATCCAAGGAAATTTTTGCATGCTGGTACTATATATGTGGCAAACAGCAAAATTAATCTAGAAGACATTGAGATTTATTTTGAATTGGAAGGCTATACAACATGTACAAAGTACCAATAATCTTATCAAGATGAAGTTTGATTTTTTTTTAAATCAGAGAAGGACCCTAACCAATCAGCAGACAAACCTCAACCAGAGATGGTCCTCACCCAGACCGACTTCACAGAGGCCATGTCAGGGTTCACACCAGCATCCATCAGGAATGTCCCGCTGCACCAGGCAGGGGAATTAGGGTGGGAGGATGTGGGTGGGCTCACAGATGTCAAGAAAACGCTGATGGAAACCCTCATGTGGCCCTCCAAGGTTTGTATAATATCACTGTTCATAGCAAGATTGTGCTGTAAGATTTGATCTTAAAGGGTTTTTATCACGTCTCAAAATTTTTTGATATGACAAAGTTTACATGCTATTTAAAACATATATTTAAAAATCTTTGCTAGAAAATTAATATTTTTGATGTCTCAGCGATTCAAAGTTTGAATTTCTCAATATGCATATTTTGATCGCGGATGTTTCACGCCATTGCTCTGACGACATAGGTGTCAATCCTGATCAAGCGAAGTACCTATTGTGTATACAAAAGGGCTCATTTGTTGTGTCTATTAAACCTGTTAGAAAATAATTAAGAGATAATTGGATAATTGACAGCTAGTAAGGTATAATTTATGGCTTTAGGATAAGAACAAGAAAGGTTTTAGGAAGATTCTTTTTCCACATTTCCTGGACTTGGTCGAGAGATGAAAGGAGGGCCTTTTTCTGCAAATGCGATGGCATTTAAATGGTTAATGCTCGGTTGATCATGATTTTTTTTTCTGTCCTATAAAAAAAAAATATTTTAAGGAAAGATACCTTTAAAAAAATAATAAATGACAAACACGCATTTTTTAAAAGTCACAGAGAATCTAGTAGGAATGTTGTGAACTTCGTAATGGCGTACGGCTCCATTGAAGAAGTGTCATTTCTAGTACATGATATTCACTGCTGGAACAGATAGAAGATATACAGGATTTATTTATATATAATTAATTAGAATAATAATGAAGGAGAATTTAAAATCCCTATATTTATAAATGTTTACGAAGTTAAACTTCAGTAATTTGTTCTAGTCCCGAGTTGTCAACGGCTTCGTCTTTGGTGACCTCTCCAATTATCAGCATATTTTCTGGTTATTTCTCTCTGCTAGACGTTCATACATAAAAGATTGACCATCCATAACCAAAGGAATATAGTTGATGTCAAAATTTCAACCGGCCATATTGTGTATTCTATTTAATTAGCATAAAAATGTATTCAATTTATTTTTTTCTTACGATAAGCTTTATGAGTTCTTTTGACCATTGACACCTATGACGTTTCAATACCACGTGACCCATATCTAATTAGAAGAGATTTTTACTTCAAGGACCCTATATTACGGGCGTTTTATCATCTAATCAAGGCCGTTTTCAACATTATTTCATAATTAAATGATAATTATATGTTTCAAGAATATAATAGTGTTTCATTTTTAAGAAATTTAGATACATGATAAAAACCCTTTAATTGCTCATTTTACTAAAATTTTTAGTTTGCAGTATTTTAAATGGTGAATTCGTAATTGTATGCCAAGGATATAAGTTAAGGAATTATAGGATGTAAGCTTGGATGTGAAGTCAATTTAAAAGTGTGAAGTTCAAAGATCTTGGTAAATTTGATTTTTCAAGTATGCTTCATCACTTAACACAGTGATTTTGTTTTGTTTTCCTAACATATTGGAGAAGCTCCAGAGTATATGTAATTAATTGTCTATGACATATAACAACAAATATCTCCTGCTTCCACTACAAAGTCACACAGTAATACAAATAGAGAGTGCTCTATTTACGTTTGTTTTGCCTCAGACTATAGACTGACACTCTGTCATTAGATAACAGACGTCACATGCTTGCAGTCTTTATTTTTGTAGACAGTGAGTAGCAAAATGTAGACGGCAACATGGTGGATTAAACAATGTTATGTCATTCATATTTACAGAAAAAAATTATGCTAGCAGTATTTTTGCTTTTAAAATAAATAAATAATTTAATTCAGGTCATTACCTATTTAGCAATTTTGCAATTAAATTAAGAGTAACTTCTTTTTTCCAGTGACATAATTTAAAGTAAAAAAGTAAGATCACAAATGAAGGAAATTTGCACAGTCAAGAAAATCCCATAATTTTATTGTGATTGATCCATAGGTTTGTTAACTGTTATTGGTCATTGGCAAAACAATGCTCATTGGGTTTGCTAGTGACTGTCTACAAAAATATATCTGGGTGATCAATCTCATAGATGGTGAGATGAAGCAGAGCTATCTGTGAGTTTGCTCAGCCTGCTATATTTCTGTAGACAGTTACTAACAACCCTTTTAAGTAATCAGTATACCGACTACTGTGTCCAGTTATAATGTATAGATAGCCTTAAAAACTAGCATTGTGTTAGAGTAGCTAGGAACACAGTCTATAATGTGTGATTGTTTGTTATGTTCAAGTTTTTTTTATGCCCTGCCATGAGTATGGGAGGGGCATATAGAGTTTGTCATGTCCATCTTTCATCCTTCCATCCTTTCATCTTTCTGTCCTTCTGTCTGTTCTTCCATATATCCTTACATCACGCTTTGCATTTAGTTCAGTTCAAACCTCAGTTTCAAAGAAACTTTACAAGATATTTTTATCAAACTTCATATGCTGATAGATATTGATGAAAGCTATTCAACTGCATCAACAGTTTTTGACCTTGACCTTTCCTTTGACCTTGACCTCACTTTAATTAGTATTAAGCTCAGTTTTAAAGAAACCATTCAAGATAGTGTTATCAAACTTCATATGCTAATACATACGGATGTAAGCTATTCAACTGCATCAGCATTTTTTGACCTTGACCTTTCCTTTGACCTTGATCTCACTTTTCTTAAATTAGTGTTTAGCTCAGTCTTAAAGAAACCATTCAAGATATTTCTTTATCAAACTTCATATGCTGATACATACTGAAGTAAGCTATTCAACTGCAGTAGTATTTTTTGACCTTGACCTCTTTTTTCTTAAGTTTGTGTTTAGCTCAGTTTTAAAGAAATCATTCATGATATTTTTAATCAATCTTCATATTCTTATACATACTATGTAAGTTTTTCAACTGCATCAACATTTTTGACCTCCACCTTTCCTTTGACCTTGACCTCACTTTTTTTTAATTAGTGTTTAGCTCAGTTTAAAACCATTCAAAATATTTTTATCAAACTTAATATGCTGATACATATTAGTGAGAGCTATTCAACTGCATCAAAAACTTTTGACCTTGCACTTTCCTGTGACCTTGACCTCACTTTCCTTATAGTTGAATTTTGCTTAGTTTTTAAAAAAAATCATTTAAGATACTTTTAAGTAAGCATATGCACTTATACATTATTTGGTGAGAATTTATCATCTATATCCATATTTTTTTTATATTTTGGTTTCAATTTTAAAGAAGATATTCTCATCAAACTTTATACACTCATACAAATTTTCATGTTGCATTACTAATATTACATGTACTTGGCGGGGCATTGATGTCCTATGGACATATTTTTAGTTTTTACATGTTTGTACCTTTATAATTTTTTAAATTGTCAGAAGACATTTGGTATGCCACCTGTTATTTGACATTGTAAAAATATTAAGGAGTGAGAACAGGAAAACTAAATAAAATTGGATTATGGAAATCTATATTTACAATCAATACATCTGCCTAATTCATAGTCATGTAAATTTTAGATATTTTGTAAATTTTACACTTTTTGTGATTAGTTAAATTAGAAAAAAAGAAAAATATGTGAATTATTTGCATCATTATCTCCTTATACCACAAGTATAAGATTGCAACCTTTTTTTTATTTTAATACCTATAGTACCCCATGTTATTTTCCTCCTGCCCTCTGAGACTAAGGTCCGGTTTACTGCTCTATGGGGCCCCAGGGACAGGGAAGACACTTTTGGCAGGAGTAGTGGCTAAGGAATGTGGACTCAACTTTATCAGTATCAAGGTAAAGGAGGAATTTTTAATTGGATAAATCTTGCTTATACAATCAGATAAATATATGATACTGTCATACATGCTCTTTAGGATAATAATTACCCCAGTACATGTACATTTATGTGATGTACATGTAATTCAAGGAGTACATATGTTTATTGTATTTATAATTTACTTTTCATTTCTTATAAGACAAAAGAGTTTTGCATTCATTTGATTCAGTGAGAGATATATCCTTGACTAATCATCACTTTAAATTATTAGGGGCCAGAACTTCTGAGTAAATACATTGGTGCTAGTGAACAGGCTGTCAGGGACAACTTTGTGAGGTGAGCTCTGTAAAAGTTATCTTTCTTTACCTGAAATTTGTTTGGTTTAAGATTTTAAATGTATTATTATATAATTACTAGGGATGGCAACGAATATTTGAACATTCAAATATTCATTCGATGAGTTGTTATTCGAATATGAATTTAAGATTCGAATATTCGGTGTTTTTCAGATTTCATAAAAAGAAGTACTGTGATTAATAAATTTTGGAATTATCCCTGTTTAATTCACCAGCGATCAATTTCCATAGCCTGATTTCTATCACTACTTTCTTATCTTATAGATCTACTAAATAACGTGTATTTTGTTTTGAGTAAGGTACGTGTTAATGAATTGTACAATAATGCTTTATGTATAATACAAAACGTACTTTCATAGTTTTCACAAGTTAAATACGATTGGATCTAGAATAGAGGACAACAAAATTAAAAACTTCTTTGAATGTCTAAAAAGTGAAGAGTATACATACTTATCTAAACAAATTTAATTGATCATTAAATGAATGTCTGATATAGAATTAGTCTGCAATTAATATTGTAAAGGGCTCAATTTAAGAATAAATGTGTAAATTACCTAAGTTGATTATCTCTGGTTGTACAAAATCCTGAGTTTTAAATTCATTATCGGGAAATTAGTTAATTACCTAGGAAAATTGTCTATGGAAATATTTGATTATATTTTAAAAACATTGTATCAAAGATTATAATCATATCTCTTATTAGGCAGATAATTGTAATTTATTACACATATTGAAATCTGAACAGTATACAGTTACGACTATCTTAATTGCCTTTTGTAAGATGACTGGTTCCTCAGTTGGAGCTACTATAATTATATATATACGTTTCATTTGTTAAAGTTATACTTTTCTACATTTAAATCAATTATTTATTCCAAACATTGACAAATATCAAATGGAATTTTATTGTACACCTACAAAAGTCTTCATATAATTTTACTTCCAATATAAGTATACCTACGCTAAACCTTTCATGAGAGTAGGATGATGCATGCATATTTAAAATAAAACAGATTTTATTTATTTTGTTGAATATTCAAATATATTTGAATACTTTCATTGAATATTTGAATATGAATTATTGACAAAATTGACATCCCTAATAATTACTAATATTTTTTTTAAGAGCTCAAAGTGCCAAGCCATGCATTTTGTTCTTTGATGAGTTTGACTCTCTGGCTCCAAGGTAAAATTTTCAGTAAATTGTCAATGATCATTGAGGAATATTAAAAATCTCTTTTCTGAATTGCAGAGTGCATTGAACTACATGTGCTACAGCTACATTATACAATTTACATTATAGCCATATTTATAATATCAAAATTGTAGGCGTGGCCATGACAACACAGGGGTTACAGACAGGGTCGTTAATCAGCTGTTAACCCAGTTAGATGGGGTAGAGGGGTTGGAAGGTAGGTAAAGCATATAAAAGTTTTTTTGCTTTTAACATTAGTATGTACATGTAAGGAGTTAAAGTAGGCTATTTTTATCTCAAATATTTTACAATATATACTTTTACAGATTTTTACAATTTGGCATTTTTTTTTTTGAAAATGTATCAATTTGTGGATTGGAAAAATTAAATGTGATACCTGTATGAAAGTTTAGGACTGCCAAACAATTACTAAGCACATTCACTGTTGAAGACATATATTGTAATCACTTTTAAAATTTAATTACATTATATGAGCATGCAATGAATAATATCTCTGAATTCATAGTTCATTTGTTCATGTCTAAATAATGTCTTATTAAGCTGGATTTTTCTGTTTAATATAGGAGTGTATGTACTGGCAGCCACCAGTAGGCCTGATTTAATTGACCCAGCACTTCTTCGTCCTGGTAGATTAGATAAGTGTCTACAATGCAAGCTCCCAAATGAGGTTAGAGATAATAACTATTGCAGATTTCATTTGTAAAAATTTTATTATTCTGCAATTTGTGCAGTCTATTCGAGTTATTGCTCTTTGAATATGTATAGCTAAGGTAGATGAACACTGCATGAGGATTAATTGATTTGTTTTGCATTGCTGTTACAAGTTTTATAACTAATAAATAAAAAGAGCACAAAAAACATGATACAAAGTACACAAAATATATTTTAAAGTTTCATATAGCAGTATCTGGAGTAAAAAGCAATCATTAGATTTGTCAAAATTGGCTGTCTCTAGGAAGAACGGTTAAAGATTTTCAAAGCCCTTACAAGGAAAATGTCTCTGGGAAAGACTGTGGACTTGGAATATTTTGCCAAGGAGTGTGAGCACTTTTCAGGAGCTGACATCAAAGCATTATTATACAATGCTCAGCTAGAGGCTATCCATGAACTTACAGGAAAGGTACTAAAGGGAGAGAATCCTAATCTTTTACTTCCACCAGTAGAAGGCAACAAGAACCAAAGGAGTCCTAGGGTGCCTAGGAAGTCCAAGAGTCAAAAGCTGCTGAAAGTGGAGGCAGTGCCTCCTAAATTGTCCACCAATAAAAAGATTGCTCACATTCCTAAGTTACAGGATGGTCCTTTTCCTCTCACAGAGGAAGTAGAGGAAAAACTCTCTAGTCAGGTGAGGAAGAAACAGTGGGTATTGTTTAAAATGCGTCTCATTTTAATCTTTGAATTGTACTTTTGAATTTGATGTTTTATTTTTTTAAAAAATACTTTCAACATGCTTAGGTTTGTTTATTAATAAAGAATAACAGTTTTTTTTTATTTCTGTCAGGAAATCTGATTTTTACTTACAGTGTATGTTTCTACCTTTTAAACTTCTATATTAAAATAAGCACTATTGTATTTTCTTTTTTTTTTTGAAAATTCTTGCAGGTTGAACAAATCAGAGGTCGATTAATAGTAAATAAGGCTACAGAACATGTATCAACCGTGGACTCAATGTTTTCTCCAGTGACAACCTCTAAAGGTCAACTGATCCAAATCAACCAATCACATTTACAAGCTGCCCTGCAAAAGACTCACCCGTCAGTTAATGAGAAAGAAAGAAGGAAATTTCAACAAATGTAAGTATCTCTTTGTGGAACAGTTACAAAATTAATGTTGTTTTATTGTTCCCTGCTTTCCATCCTATCTGTCTCTCATTGATTTGGGTCTGTCCATCCTGTCTCTCTGTCATTCTGTCTGTGATACTTTCATCTCTTTACAACACCTCAAAAAGTCTTTGAGCTTTTGCAATTAAAATTTATTTCACAACTCCTTATGGCCTAAAGAAAGACTATTGATATTGAGATCAAAATGTCAAGGGTCAAGGTCAGAAATTCTTACTTTCCGTCATTGCAACACTTGTTTCCAGTAGATATTATCTTGAACTCAATGGGACTGAGAAAAAAGTTAAGAGATTTATGAGGATTCGAGATATTGAGGGTGAAATACTTAAAGAATAAGTGTTAGGGACTTCCATATCACTTGGACATATCAAAGGTATTCAAGATATCAGTGTTTGAGATACCGAAGTTCAACTGTATCTTGAAAAGCTTTTGAGGTAACTCCTAATTGCCTAAAGAAGACTATTTTCGATTTTGAGGTCCAAAGGTCAAAGTCATAAAATTCATACATTGCAAATAACAGTTTCCAGATGATACCTTTAATTTTTTTTTAAGCTTTTCTCAATAAAATTTAATATCACAACTCTTATGGCTTTAAAAAAGACCACTATTGATTTGAGGTCAAAAGGTTAAAGGTCAGTGTCAGAAATTTATACATTCTGTCTGTGTGTAACACTTTTTTGAACTATATTGTAAAAAGCTTTTGAGCATTTGCAATGAAGTTATATCAACATTCTCTTGTATAGTCATCATTTCACAAGTTCTATGGTTGATACAATGACTTGTCAGCAAATACAGTCAATCATTAAGTCAAATGCTGATGTTTTTCATACCAATTGTTAGGCCATTATTTAAACATGAATTGTCTATGGATTTTTCTGTTTGCCCGATCATGACAATGAACACACAGTGGGTGTGACCGGTCGACGGGGACGCTTACTCCTCCTTGGCACCTGATCCCACCTGTGATGGTTTTTAGAGGTCCGTGTTTGCTCTGATTACGATTTGTATTGTTTCAATGGACCTTTGAGCTTGATTAATGTTTGTTATCTCCATACTTCATTGAAAAAATTCTAACTTATGCACGTAACTTATTTTGTGACTTGAAAAAAATTATCATAAAAATCTAAATAGATAATAAAATATTTTCTTGTTTCAAGCTTTTTAAGACTTAATTGCTGATTTCTTGAGAGTATCATGTAGTTTAAAATAATGAAAGAAAAAGTTTGGTTCTTTATTTAAATTTTGAAATATTTGTCAAAATGTGTAATTTTCAGGCCAAAAAAAAAAAATGTAAATTTTATCAACTTCTTCATTATACATGTATCTTCGTTTCTTGGGGAAAGTCTGTTATGTAAATGTGTAAAATTTTTAATAAATATTAATTGAAGTTTTGTGTATTATATTCCTGGCATTTAATAATGGAAAAAATTATCTGAGTAAAAAAAAATGTGCAGAAGTCCTATGATAACAAATTCAACAAATGTGTAGATTTGAAGAATTTCCCTCTAAATATCCTTCCTCCATAAGTAATAGTCCCCCTTAAATCTTGTTTCTTTATGATTTTTTGAGCAGTTCTTAAACTGAAATTTGCATTGTTCAATTCATTTATATTTAAAAAAATTAATTGTAATAAATAGTTTTGAAGTTAGAGATTCTGACCAATCTTTTTTCAAAAGCTAACAAGTGATATACCTTAAGGTCTTGAATTTCTTTCACTGAAAAAAGACCTTTATTAACTTTAAGGTCAAAAGCTCAAAGGTCAAGGTTGACCTTTCTTTTCTCCATCTGCATATTTTTTTCAGATTTCCCATCCTTTTCTTTTTTCCATAAGTGAAGGACACCACTTTTCTGAATTAGATTGTAATATATGCATACACTTATAAAATATTGGTGTCTGATAACATGTACATTTGTTTTTGGGGAAGGAAATGAATTTTCAAATACACTTCCTTCACAACCATACATCAAAACTGAAAAAGGAGTCAACATAGACTATAAAAATCATTATTTTAAAAGGTATGAAATTAAATATTAAATATTAAAAGATGATATTGGAGAAATAAAAAAATTTTTATTGGAAATTTTAGTATGATAAAGATAACAAAAATTAAGTTGTCAAAAATCAATTAATATTACTATCAAATAATTGCTATTTGAAATAACTTTGTTTTTACATTTATGTTTGGCAACTCCTTAAAAGTCTCAATAATTCAGTTCTGAATATGCTAAAGAGGAAGCTCGTTATTATCAAAATTCTATCACAACCATTTAAAAAGCAATTTTCAATGCAAAGCTGTTTAAATTTAATAGATTCGTAGAAAATGGATATTTTATTTAGTGCATTCTTGAAAAATGAGAGAACTTCAGAAGTACACACAGAAATTCAAGGAAATAAAGCTGATTAAATTTGCCTTTATTATTGTTTCTGCTTGTAAACATTTGCAACATAAAATTCATATCAAATAGCAATTATTTCATTTCTTTATGAATTAGAATTGAGCTTAGTGTATCATAAATATATCCAACACTCATTATGTTTGCAATAAATGGCTCTTTTGAATGAAAGATATATACATTATAAATCACATTTTAGATGAAATATGATTTCAAGGTGATGGCTCAGACTTGTGCCAATTCTCAGTAAGGTATTGTTAAGATGTTGATAAATTAAGGGGATTTATTTTAAATCAGCTGATAATAATTTAGAAGTGACAACTTTGTGGCATTTTAGAGATTCATGGTCATTAATATCCATCAGGGGGCCTTTTTGAAGTTTTGTCTGATTATCCGGTAATTTATACGGTGCATACTCTGCAGACATGCACCAGATCGTGGTATCCGGCCTGGTTTTTTCTTGGTTTAGTTACCGGATACAGTGTTATCGTATGATTGTACTTTTTCCCTTTGTTGTCTTGGTTTATTGTTAACAGATAAAAACAGCAAGTCAACTCAATTTCCAAGATAAATACACCAGCAACAAAGTCCAATTGATTCTGAGGCTTTTACTCTGTTACATATTTGACAGGTTTTCTGCTATAGAATTTCTTTTTAGGGTCCAAGGTTGGTTATCAATGATTGATTTTGAGACACAATAAATTTCCTTTGATTGAAAAGGAAAACCATACATATAGTGGCCAATTTAATGGATATGATTGAATATTTTATGATTGACTAAACTTTACAAATTCATCTAATTAACCAAAATGTTTTAAAGATCCACATGCTTCAATAGGCTATTTTCTCTCCAAAGGAGATTTTGAAAGGTCGCACAATGACTTTAATTCATCTTTTTCCATTAGAGCTTGTGGTGCGGTGATAACCGTCAGAGGCTGAAAAGAATGTCAAATAGAGTCAAAAATTAACCAGTGGTAGCAATTGATAGGAGGGCTGGTTAAACAAATTTTGAAATGGGCTTATTCAGCTGAGCACAATACCTGCCGCATTTATAGTCGGAAACCTTTATTGTCTGTGTCAAAAAATCAAATATCTTTTTCTGAAGCAACTAATTACAGGCAAGATACAACAAAAAGCCAACACACCGCACTGCCTATGATGAGAACTCGGCACACAAAAGAGAAGTTTGAAAGAACTTTGGGAGACATTGTGCAACGACTATTAGTCATGTTATTGACGAGAAAAATGCCTCTGTAACATGTATTGTCTCCCTTCTGAATAAAAAACATGTACTTTTGACAAATAAGATAAATCAAATGTTATAATTGAAACTGCTCATCTAGATTTGATATTTAGAAAGGGAGGAGATTCATTCAGCAGCTTTGTGATTTAGACAAATTTGAATTCTATCCTTTTGAATACATGAAATTATGATGGCTTTCAAGGCTATAGTTCCCTATTTGTATAGAAAGGGTTCACCAAAAGCATTTTTCTCACATAAAAAAAGTAATTTTTACTGCTATCCGTATTATGATTTTAATTTGTTTTCTATTTTTCTAAACCTTACACACCTCTAAGAGAAATGTTTCATTATTTGTGCATTTCTAATTTCAACTTTGCAATCATGTTGAGCACAATAGTTCATCTGTCAAAAATAATTTTGCACTCAATATAATTATGGCCTGCAACTCTCCTGCAGTGAGGACCAACAGTTTTGTTGACATCTAAAATATGTAAATTTTATGCGACAATTAAAAAAAAGTTATTTTTATTGGAAAATTTTTGGGTTAGTTAAACATTTTTATTTGTTTGTCTTTGAGTTCATCACTCAGTATTAATATAAATTTTTAATATTTGATATAATGAAGAAAAATTGTTTCTTCTTTTATTTCTATGAATTGTTTATTAATATGTTAATTACAATCCAATGTTTTCATTGATTATCAATATGCAAAGTTTTTAAATGTTCCATATACAATTTTAAAAAAGAAAAAGTTGTGAGATTTAACAAGCATGTTGAATTTGAGAAAGTGTTGAAAATATAAGAAATTTAAAATGAAAGAGAGTGATATTCCATTTAAAACTCAGCTCAAATTATTGTTGATTTAAGAAAGGCATTATTATACCCCATTTAAAAAAAGAAATATCAACCCCTTCTCCCATTATCTCCTTTAAAGTCAAATATAAAGATATTGTCTCTGACCTGTTGTATAATGAACCCTCAATCTTGTCGTTCTTGATGATGAAAATGTTAAATGTTGTATAAGATACAATTAAAATAAGAATTTTAATACCAAGAATCAAAAATTGAATATTATTAATTTTTATGTGTACATATACATGTAATAATATTTTCTACTCTCTCCAAAGCTAGTTTTTGACAAAGGAATCTGAAAAGTTCCCAATCTTGTACATTGGTATCTCTCCTAATTGTCAACTTCATATTGTAATAGTGGATTCTCCAAACCCTCTTCACAGACAGACGGCAATTGCAATATTCATTCACGTTTCCTTAAAGCACCACTCAAAGCCACCAGAAGTGGGTCTTGTTGTGTTTCCCATAATTCTGGGCCACTGCATAACAGGGTTTCAGAGTGAAGGGAAAACAATTGACCTTTGTGTAAAAGTTTGAGTTCCATTCATGGCAGTTTTTAAGTGTTGAGAGGTTTTTTCTTCTGGTGATGAAGGAATTGAGTAAATCCGGAAGTCTTTATTGGAACAGAAGAAATGAAGTCCCTGATCTGTACCAGTGTTAACTTAATTAGTGTTCAGCAATTTGTGGTATTCAGATTTCCATAATACCATTAGTGTAATTTGGCTCTAAAGATGATTGAAAGAACAATTTGTGAATATGACTTCGATTTGTCATCGGTAGATTCTAGAGTAAATTGGTTTAATTTTAGATCGATTTTTCATAAATATGTATCTAAATATGAAAAAAATTCAAATTTAATGATAAATAACAAAATAATTTTTTTTACCTCTTTTGAAGAGTTACAATTTACACTTTTTTACGTATTTTTTTCACCAATTAAGGACTTTTTAGAAAACTTCCATAGGATAGAATATCCATTAATACCTATATAACAACATGATGTGCCCAAAACAATTTTAAATTGATGTTTCAAAAGAATTCAAGGAATTACCAAATGTCTTTTCACAGAAAGGCACTGAAAACAAATCTTCAGCAAACACTAATTTTAAATTTGCTCAACTTGACATAATTCAGTTTGTTTTGTTCTCATTTTTACATGTTTTGCATTATTTCTTTACAATTATTTCATAGCAATATTTGAAAGAAGTTCAATGTGTTTGTGTTATATATCCTTAATTTCAATCATTATGTTAACAAAAATTTTAAAACTAAAAATTTTAAAAAAGAAAAGAAAAAGAAACAATAAAAGATCTTGTATCATTACAGTGTATACATGCAAGACCAAGATGTACTGCTTTAGTATGGCTTTTTGCACAATTTTGTATTCAATTGATATTCTTTGAAATTTAAACTGAATTCACATGAAATCAATTTAAGTTTTCCAAGTTGATATGTCACATGTATAAACTTTAAATCAAATTTTATGTTACAAGTTCAGTAATACATTGATGTCAGTGTACCTGCAGTGTTCTTGATATTGCCTATTGAGGTTTAATTACATGTACACATATTCATCTGATAAACTATGTATTTGTGCACACATACAAAGATTCCTTAAACAGCTAAATGGTATACTCTGAAACATCAAAAGAGTAAGAATTAATTCACTTCGAAGTGTTTAGGTAGTTTAAATTTCAGAAGAGCTTTTTATTGATAAGTAAAAGAGAACTGAAATATCTATAGGTACATGACTTTGACAATTTATCCTCCTGTAAAACAATTGTTCTACATGTAGTTTTCTTTGTCATTTTTTGATATTAAAAGAAGTAAAATTACAAAGACACAAAATATTAAATGGTATCCAGATTACCATAGACTCTTGAGACCTTCATCTACAGAAGAGTTCTCAAAGAGGATATAAGGTCGGCATTGATACATGCAAATGTGCTTAATCTGCCATCAGCATCAAAAAGGGCCCTAATAATGGGGGCATAACAGAACTATTTGATGTAATTCAGTAGCTGAAGATAAGGCAGTATTGTGGAAATGTCAGTGCAAGATATCATTTACATACTACTTCTCCAGTGATGAAAATAAGAAACGTAGCATAGTCTGTACTTGTAACTTAAGCATCTTCAGTTAGAGTCATTTGAAGCAAGTTTTGAATTTCTTATAGAATAAGTAAGTGCTGCGTATTTTCCTCTTATGAATGACACTGTCCTTGTTTCACACACTTTGAATACAAGGATTATGTGCTGTTGTTATTCAGATTAAGTAATGATGATTTACATTCTTAATTTATATATTAATTGTTATCCTTTATCAGGCTACAGAAAAAAAATTGGATACTAGTAATCCTGAATACCCTGTATATACTATCTTGCAGATACGCGAATTTTACCGCCACTAAAGGAGGTGGCCCAGGGACCTCTATTGAACAGATGATTGGGAGCAGGCAGACATTGGCTTGAGGATTGGAGTAACACATCTACTTTTTAAAACATGTATAAATGAAATTCAAATACACATATTCGTTTCGCTGTGATAACAACACTAAAATCCACATAAATGTTGTAACTATTTGCTTTGGTGTTGAAATAAAGTGATGTGAAATTTATATTAATTCTATCTTTTATTTTGAATTCCTTTGCAACAATGATGATTATACATGGACGAGTATATTGTACAGTGAATGTACGTGGAGGTTTAACATCGATCACATTTTTGTGCAACATATTTAGTTTTCAGTCGTTACGAGGGAGTTTTTATTATTCTTTTTTTTTTTTTTTTAAAAAAAGAGGAAATTTGACAATAAAGAGACTGTCTACTTCATCTTACAGCAGTCCTATTCCAGCATGTTCACGTTTGACTTCAAACCAGCTAGTATTCTCGCTCCTGGCGCCACGTCAAATCACTTAAGTAGTCAACTGTGGCCGTTTCCTTGACAAGTGCTCGGCATTAGAAGTGAAAGTCACTGGACTTTCGGATATGACTTTAAAAACGTAGGCGATGGCACGATCAAGAACCCTCACTGCTTAATGGCCTTGATTGCTGAGTAAAGTTCTAAAATTGGAGCCCTTCACCTGTATTTGGTTATGTCTCATATGAGTGAAAAAATGCTTGCAAGGGACGTAAAACAACAACAAAATAAATCAATTAATCAATTCACCCAGCTAGTTGAAAATTCTGCAACATTACTAAAAGCAAATGGTGGTTGGAAATTGAAGTAAATTTGTTTTGAGGATAAAGTCATTGAATTTAATGATGTAGTTCTGCAGTACTTTTGGTTTTTTAAAATAAACTTTTGTCTGGATGTTATAAATGTATTTTATGTTTTTAAGAATTTGTTTCTAGTGTCAGTACTGTAAATCAACTTTATATTCGCGTGCGAGAAATATCCCCGAGTTTGGCGACCTACTTTAACTCGCGATTATTAACCAATTATTTTGCTTTGTATTTGTAGAGAATGTTTCCTCAGTCGCGAAAATTGATTGTCGCGGATTGATGAAATATATGGAGATCACGAACAGTATTAGGGCTCAAAAGTCCATTAAACATTTCAAAATAAGAGAAGAACAAACACGGACTCTAAAACTTCAGAGGTGGGATCAGGTGTCATGGAGGAATGAGCATCCCCTGCCGACTGGTCACATCCGCCGTGTTCTCCTTGTCATCATCGGGAAATAACGGAAAAATCCGTCGACAATTCAGTGTGTAAATAATGGCTTAACAAATAGTATGAAAAAAGTCAGTCAGCATTTGACTTAATGATAGATTGTATTTGCTGACAAGGTCATTGTATCGACCATAGAACTTACGAAATGATGACTTTAAACGAGACTGTTTATATTCTTGTTTCATCAACTTGTTTGTCAATAACTTGATTTGATTTCAAACTGACGATTCGCGAATAAAAAGTGACGCGAATTATAGTTGGTTTACAATAAATAACCCGTTATACATGTTTTCAAGTTATATCAAGCAAATTCAAAAATTTCGATAATAGTAGTGACTACACTGTGTCTGAGTTTTAAGATTAAGATGTTAAGGAGAAAGAAAATTAATTATATCTTTAGTTGACTGATTTTTTCCCCTTTTATTAAGATAATGGTTTAATTATGTATTGTTGTAACTCTGCATTGAAGTCGATTTTAAGACAGGACCAGAAAGTTTGGTATTCTAAGTTTTGTGAATGCAACAAGAATAGCAATACAAGTTGTACAAAATTACACTCGACTGTACATGGTACTTTATGTGCTTTGTTTACTAAATCTGGATTTTTCTCCAGGTTGCTTGAACATCATTCTATATAGACATTAGTAAGACACTGAATATTACAATTAAGCTTGTAATGTCGAATGCACCAGTCATGCAGATATCCATTTCAGCTCTTTTAAATTGAGTTGCAGGACCCAAATTGGATGCACTGGAAGTTTTAATAGCGATCGATTGTAATTTATTTATTGTTGTTTACTAAATAAGCATTTAAAAAAGATATTTAAAATTCCCCCATGTAAAGAAGATATGGGTTTTGTAGTACTTTATTTGGTATTGAAAATCCAGTTATTAATTGCGTATTGATGCAAGGTGAACAACCTCGTACTGGTTTTTACAGCATGTGTCTTGTATCTAAATAAATTTTTAAAGTTCTCTGTTCCACTCGATTTAGATTGATGCATTGCATTGACTGGAATATATCCTTAATTGGTGTATCATTACTGCAAAAAAGTAAGAATTCATGCACGAACGGTTTTAAAACAAATACGTGTAAAAAAAGAACAAAGTCGAATAAGCCAAGAAAAATGCTCATGGATTGACAAATAAGAAGTGAAAAAAAACCTTCAATCAAACCAAAATTTTCTTTGATATACAAGTATGTCATCGATTTATGCATAAATTATGTAAAAATTCCTCAATATTATTGAAATTATTTTCCTATGAAATAGCAATCACGCACCGAAGAGGTTAAAATGACCATTTCCCTTTTCCATTTAGCACAATTTCTTTCCACATGATTTGTCTTTTCTCCATATTTTAAAAAAAAATGTATACGAAGTATGTGTAAAAATATTTTTTTAGGATAACAAAAACATTGAGCTTAGGACCCGTTATACCTTAAAAATATACTTTTATATAATTATTAGCTCACCCGAGCTGAAGGCTCAAGTAAGCTTTTCTGATCAAAGAGTGTCCGGCGTCCGTCCGTCGTCTATAAACTTTTCACATTTTCGAAATTTTAACAATCTTCCCCTCAAGAACAACTGTGCAAGAAAAGTTGAAACTTATACGAAAGCATTATTACATACTCTAGATTCAAGTTTGTTTATATCATAATTCCTGGAGGTAGAGCAGGGCCTCAAGAAGGGGTCAAAGTTTTAAATAGGAATATATAGAGAATGTCTTTTAAAATCTTCTCGAGAACAGCAAAGCCATGATTAGTTACATTATTATCCTAAGGTAGTGTAAATTCAAGTCTGTTCCAATCATGACCCCTGGGGGTAAAGCAGGTCCGAAACAGGGGCAAGTTTACCATAGGAATATATAGGATATATCATTAAAAAATTTCTTCTAAAGAACAGCCTAACCATTATTACTTTATTAGTCATATTAATTAATATAGAAGTATCCTCAGGTAGTGTAAATTCAAGTTTGATTAAATCATGACCCTTGGGGCGTGGAGTGGGTGGGTTGGGAGCAGACACAACAGGGGACCAAAGTTTTACATAGGGAAATATAGGAATTTCCTTCTCAAGAACAGCTAAGCTATTATTTGTCATATTAATACGGAAGTACCCTCCGCTAGTGTAGACTCAAGTTTGTTCAAATCATGAACCCCAGGGTAGGGCGGGACAACAACAGTGGGTCTATGTTTTACATAGGAATATATAGGTGTAAGGCCTAATGTTTAAGGGGCATTTGTGTAAAATGCGCTGAATACTTCAAATAGTGGAATGACTTGGCAACCCTTAATTGGAAGGTATAAAAGGCAAAGCTTTGGGAAAGTTAGGCATTCAGTAGCTAGCAGAAGAATAGACAACAAGAAGAGCAAAATAAAAGGTATAAGCACCTGTGGTAGGTGTCCTAGGGAATTGATGTTAAGTTCTGGGTGTAGTAAATCTGAAGAAGATTGAGACACCCGATTCTTATCTATCAATAGGGACCTAGGGGAGAAACACGACGCAAGTAATGCCTTACCCAGACCCCGTCTCTAGATAAGAGAAAATTTAAGTACTAGCTGTGTGATTTATCCTCAGACAGAGCTGTCTTAGTAATCATTCCAATCATTACCTCAGACAGAGTAAAAGGAAAACCCTTGCAAGAGCCTGATCATACATTTTACATAGGAAATAATTATCTTTTAAAATCTTCTCAAGAGCAACTACGCCATTATTAGTCATATTTATACAGAAGCAACCTTAGGTATTGTAGAATCAAGTTTGTTCAAATTATGAACACCCCCCCCCCCAATTTTAGGGTTGGGAGGCACAGCAGAGGGTCAAAGTTTTGCATAAGAATATATAGGAATCATCTTGAAAAAAACTTCTGCTCAAGAACAGCATAGCCATGACAATTAGTCGTATTATTATACCCCCGCTCCGAAGGAGAGGGGATATACTGTTTTACCCTTGTGTGTCTGTCTGTCCGTCCGTCTGTCTATCCGTAACAAATTTGGTCGCAGTTTTCTCAGCAACTACTCATCGCAGATGCTTGAAATTTAAGCACACTCTTTGTTTAGGCATGCAATAGGATTGGATTCATTTTTGTACGAATCTGATGTCAACTTCCTGTTTATCCGTGCGTCTGTCAGTACCATACATAACAAATTTTGGTCGCAGTTTTCTCAGCAACTACTCATCGCAGATGCTTGAAAAAGCACACTCTTTGTTTAGGCATGATATATCCCGAGAAATAAATCGAGAAACAGCGCACTTTTTGTGCGCAATAAATATACACTTTTTTCAATGGGTGGCACTGTAGCTCTTTGGTCGTCCATTCCAACTTTTTTCAGACCAGCGAGCTACAGATCTTCAGCTACATCCAAAGCATGACTGGTAGTATTCATCCACGGATGCAGCATCCTTGCAAGCTTCCTTCAGGGAGGGCTTACTTATAGCAGATAAGGAAATAAACCCGCGAAGCAGACGCCAGCTTCGATTGTTAACTTACGTGTGCCAAAAAGGGTATATTTAAAAATTCTGAAACCTTCACAAGTTCAAACAGTGCATGGTTAGAGACAATTTTTAAACTGTACTTATGTTTGCATGACTCTTGTCCCCTTGCAATAGTTTGTCGCTAGGTTTCTCTCATATCTTGTGAGGCTTATAATGTGCTTTTAGCTTAATAAAATAAAAAAAAAAGCTGTTTATTGTTAACCATGCTAATGCATATTATTTATATTTAGCTTTGTAAATGTATTACACGCTAAATGCTCATTTCTTGGAGAGCGATACAGATTATAGTTACGAATTTGTGAATGTTGGTGCAAGAAATATAAAGTAAACTGCATCCAAAACAGCAAAAGGATGGCATTTTCTTGCAGTGTGTAAGTAAAAATAAGCTTTTAAAGTGAACCTGCACTTCGAAATATTTACATTTTC